GTGAATGCCCCCCCTCAGCAGGAGCACAGCGGGGGGTCCTCCTCAGCTCCTGAACCCCAGCGCTCTCCTCCCCACCAGGCGGCGTCGGACCCCCGCCTCAGGCGGCCCCGGCCTCCTCCTGTGCCCAGAGAGCGTCCTGCGGGCGTGGGGAGAGGCTGGGGAGGTGACTGCTGCGAGACCACCTTCATCGAGGGGCTCGGTCCTGAGGCCGCTGCCGCCGCCGCTGCGCCGCCACCGCTGCCTCCAGGAAGGAGACGCTGCTGTTTGCTGACGGGAAGTTTCTGGACTTTTCTGGAGAGGACGCAAAGATTCAACACGCTGTCGTACGACATCGACGAGACGACGAGTTCCAGGAGGTCGAGGTGAAAATCTTCGTTTGTTCTTTTTATGTTGATTTGTTTTATATGTTTCAGTTAAGTGAAAAGTGTCGTCAGCGTAGGTGGAACATGGAGGCGGAGTCAGTTTCATCCAGGTGAAAATCTGACGGAGCACTTACCTGTTCTCGGGTGGTCTCTGTGTTTGCTCTGCTGAGTCCCACCTCCCTGCTCCTGAGCAGGTGCCAGGCCCCACCCCCTCCCAGTGACACACAGGAAGTGAAAAGCTCCTCTGACAAACTACAGTCAGCCATGTTTCCAGGAGAACCAATCCACCTTAAATCTGATTATTTTCATAACAGCGTCCTGCAGCCGGTGGCAGCGAGGAGTTCAATCCACCAACAGCACTCAGCTAACAGCCAATCAAACAGCAGCGTGGAGATCAGGAAGTGACAGAGAAGAAAAGTAGATAGATAGATAGACCTCTCCATCCCTCATCCCTCCTCCTCTCCTCCTCTCCATCCCTCCTCCTCCTCCTCTCCATCCCTCCTCCTCCTCTCCTCCTGTCCACCCCTCCACTCGAGTCTTTCAGCTGAATCAGATTAGAGCAGCATCTCTCTGGACAGCGACACATTTGGCCGCCTAACAGCCAATCGCTTTAGAGACGATTAGCTGGAAATGCTGTGATTTTGTCTCAGTAAAGTCCAGTTTAATCTACTCTGCCTCGCTAATACCGGGGGGGGGGGGGCTGTAGCTGGTTCCTGAGCTGGAACAAAGATGAAAGTTTTAGTTTCACTTCAGATGCTTCAGCTCCTCTGATCTACGGCGAGCTGGAGAGGACGAGGCTGTTCCCGCTCTAAATGAGACTATTTTTAACTTTGACAACCCAGTGAATCAAAACCAAAATGAAAACATGTCATGGCTCTTCTGTGGTACACCATGCGTTAAAGAGGACATATTATCATTATTACTATTATTGTTATTATAATTATTATAATTATTATTTCAGTGTTCATCTTTTTATTCCTGGTGTCGACTAAAATAGATTTACATGCTTCAATGTTCCAAAAACACATGAGTTTTCTTCCTCTGTTGTCTATTCATTGTCTGTCTGAAACACTTTGTTCGAGCTCTCAGGGCCCCCCTCGCCCCTCTGAGCCCAGCGTGCTCTGATTGGTCAGTTTTCCAGGCAATTACAAGCTCCGCACAGCTGTAAAATAAGTGGTTGTGACAGTCAAAATGGCGTCTCATCAGTTTGATCCTGAACCAGAAGAAGAAGAAGATAGACCTGATCCACCTTCACCAGCTGGACGGGAGCAGAAAACAAGCGTACCCACTGTCAGGCAGCCGGAAGGAGGGAAATGTCTGCAATTTGGAGAGAGGTGCCGCAAATAAAGTCGCTCATTTTGCGATTTTTATGTGTGGACTCTTCTGGACTAAGTGAATTTAAATTATGGAGCATCGGCAGGCAACTGGACTTCAGGACCTCTTCAAAGGTCCGAGTTAACGAGGTATAGCATGTAAAAATGTTTGCACATATCTTTGTCTGTTGCTGCTTCTACTAAAGTGTCCAGGTCGCCGGCTACACAAGATCCAATATAATCATCCAGACTCACAGGCTGTGATCCTGAGTCTGCTGTTGGACCACAAGAGGCGGGAAAATCTAATTACATTCACGTGTCAGGATTTCATCATTATCGAGATATGAATGACAGGAAATATAAGGCTGGAGGAAAAACCTGCAGACACAACTAAGGGCTGAAAACACTCGTTAACCCCCTCATGTCATAAACAAACCAACCCTGGATTTAGATTTACAGGTGAGCGTTAACAGGTAACACTCTGTGTGTGTGTGTGTGTGTGTGTGTGTGTGTGTGTGTGTGTGTGTGTGTGTGTGTGTGTGTCATCAGAGTGATTACTCCAGTGACTCAGAGAGCGAGGACACCTTCCTGTTGATGCCTCCCAGAGATCACCTGGGCCTCAGTGTCTTTTCCATGCTCTGTTGCTTCTGGCCGCTCGGCATCGCAGCTTTCTACCTGTCGCACGAGGTGAGCACACACACACACACAGACACACACAGACACGCACACACACACACACACACACACACACACTTTGCAGTAGCGGTATTGGCAGTAACAGTAGCAGTGATATGTTGTAGCATACCTACTGCATGTTTGGTACACTTGTAGTACACCTGTGGGGTATGGTGTGTGTGTGTGTGTGTGTGTGTGTGTGTGTGTGTGTGTGCTGCAGCTTCTTCTTCTCTCTCTGTTTCTCCTGCTCCTCCACACACTGACACAATGCTCCTTATATAACTGATCTGCAGTCAGCTGGAGGAGGACGACCTCTCTGTCTGATAATCTGCTGATGTTTCCCAGCAGCTCGGAGACAGTGGATCAAACCTAGTTTTGACATTATAAACTGATTGATCGATCAGTTAATGATTAATAGTTTTACACTGATCTGCTTCCTTCTCCAGTTTCACGTTTGTTTTTCCTTTTTTTGGCCTTTTTTACAGGTAACTTCAAAAAAAAAAATGTAATAATAATAACTGTTAAATTAATAATAATAATTAACATGAACATGAAAACGTGTGTGTGTGTGTGTGTGTGTGTGTGTGTGTGTGTGTGTGTGTGTGTGTGTGTGCGCGTGGCGGTAGCTGATCTGCTGCATGTCGTGTCATGTCGTGTCGTGAATGCGGTTTCCGTGGCAACCGCACACCTACAGTTCCAAAAGAAACAAGGGCCGGTTGCCACCGGCAACACTTCCCACACTGAAATCCATCGCTGAACAACAGAAAAGCTCTGCAGCAGGAGGAGGAGGGAGGGGGAGAGGCGAGGGGGTGGAGGGGGGAGGAGGAGGGTTTAATAAAACCAGAGAGGAGGTGAGTCATGTTAAAGGAGTAGTTCAGGAAAACCTCAGAGGGATCTGAGTGTTGTCAGTCCAGACACATCACAGTATGATTCTACTATAAAACATGAAACAACAACGACTGAATCTGATCAAAGTTCGTCTGGATGAGATTTCATCAGGAGGATTCCAACGGGAAAATAAATATAAATTGCCTCTTTATTTCCTGTAAAACCAGGACGTGACACTGACGTTCAGTTTCCTGTAGAGCTTCATTAGAGTGAACGACGCTGCAGACAGACGGAGGTTTTCCATCAGAGCTCTGGAGCCGCGACAGAGTCCAGACCTCCAGACCTCCAGACCAGGTCCCTAATGTCCCGGTTTCCAGTCAGGACGCTGCAGTAAAAGCAGATGAGAGTTTAGTGAGGGCTGATCAGAGCAGCAGATCTCTGTCTGTGTCTCCAGGGGACGAGGACTGTGGTCCATCAGCTCAAAACACTGATCCCAGACCTGCTGATCTGGATCTGACTCACAGTCCTGACGAGACTGAAGACCCAAGTCTCTGCACAGACATGAGGGTCAGTGTGACGCTGCTGTCACTAAACTGTCCCGAGACTAAACTGTCCTGAGACTAAACTTTCCTCTCAGTAAACTGTTTGGTGACAGACTGAAACAATCTGTTTTTGTTAAGCTGGTGTGGATAATCTGATTTGGGTGCTTTCAGAGTGCACACACACACACACACACACACACACACACACACACTCTGAGCTCTTTACGTAACTCTCTCTCTCTCAGATCTACAAGGACGTCGTTCTTTATTCAGCAGAAACTGATGGAGCCTCATTGTCCTCGTCTGGACCAATCACAGGAGGGCCTGCCCCCCCTCCCACTCGCTATGGTTGGCTGATGTCATACGCGTGGCGTCTGATTGGTCAGAGTGTAATTAAATATTAGTGGAACATAAGCAGTTATTACAACAGGTGGTTTCCTGCCAACAAGCTCGTTAATCGTATTTACAGAGTTAATTGAGCTCGTTAAGAGACTCACACTCACCTGACAGAGACTGATGGACTCATCTGAGTTCATTCATTTACTGTCGGCACACACAGGAACGTCAGTTACGGCCAATCACAGAGCAGCAGTCTGTCAGATAAATGTCATCTCCCTCTGTACAAGAATTATTAGAGTCATAGTTTTAAAGACTCTGTCCTGTAAGAAGTGTCTCATGTCTCTGATCAGGATCAGGCTGACAAACAGGAAGTCCCTCTCTCAGAGACATGTTGTGCATCAGGTCCCTGCAGGACCCGAGGTCTGAAACTGAACAGGATGTTTTGCTTCCTGATCAGATCAGATTTATTAAAAGCTGATTAAAGAGCAGAGACTCTGATGTTCTTCCTTAATCTTGTTCCTTCCTCTGCTGCGTCTCTGCCTCAGCACACACGCACATGCACGCACACACGCACACGCACGCGCACGCGCGCACGCACAGTGTTTCAGGAGTCGAGTCTCTGAGTAATCCAGATCACGATGTTGAGGATTTGACATGATTCTGGATCTGCTTTAAAGTGGAGGCAACGAGTCCTTGTAAACGATTGTCAGTGCCACTAGATGTCGCACTAGACACCCCCCCCACCCCCCCCTTCATGTTCTGTTCTGAATCTCAGTGAAATCGTCCAATAAACACACAGCAAGAAGCTCAACTGAATAAAGTTTCCCTGTGAACACGAGAGTCAACAAAACAATCTAAGCACAACCGTTAGCTCACGCTACCATCGCCATGATATGCTCCACAGCAATGCTAACTGTTAGCATTGACGGAGCAGGTAAAAACACTGACGGAGCAGGGAGAGACACTGTCACCTGAGCACTGCGTACTGTACTGTGACATCACACCTGTGGGCGGAGCCTGTGTGTTTATAAACGTGGGGAAGACCAACGGTTTAACAGGAAGGACTCACATTCACTAACATGCACACACTGCCAGACCGGCTACCAACACAAAAACCAGAGAAACTCAGGTTACGTCACTCACAGAGGGGGTGTCTTCGTTCTTTGCTCAGGACGCCATTACTCCACTATGTCTTTATATAGAGAATTAGATGTTTGCTGCTAAATTATTGTTTAAAATCTCGTTTACAGAACCTTTGAACCTATCTATATCTTTATATAAAATATGAAAAACTGTAGATTTAACTGTCCAATAGTAGCGATTAAATTAGAGATTAACACTGATGTGTTTTTGCCCCCCCCCCTCCTCTCAGACCAATAAGGCAGTGTCTAAAGGAGACTTCCACCTGGCCAGCTCCAGCTCGAGGCGGGCTCTCTTCCTGGCTGTGCTGTCAATCACCATCGGGACAGGTATCTACGTGGGCGTGGCTGTGGCGCTCATCGCCTACCTCTCCAAGAACCACCACTGGTAGGGAAGGAGATTACCCATTAGCCCCTAATCTCCACCTGGAGTCCGGCCCTCGTCAGGTGAGCGTTTCCTCGGCAGGTCGGCCCACGGTGAGGAGGTGCAGGAGGACAAGACGTCCCCCCCTCCTTCTCTGTGGATGGGTGACTGGAGCGCTGAAGGACTCCTACCTGAAACCTTTAAACCAATCAGATCGCAGGATCTCTGTGAGGAACAGTGGGAGGTTAGGAAAGAAAAGATGGAGTCCGTTTGTTTTAAAGAACATTGCTGTGTTTTTTCTCATTATTATTTCCCTCCTTTCTGTTTTTAATAAAGTGACAATTAAAAATGAAAGATTTTAAATTGTAGATTTGAACTTTTAACGTTGATTTTCACTTCAATTCATTTTGTTTGAATTTTTATTTTCTCATTTTAAAGCTGCAACAGTTTCAGTGATCAGACACAATATTAAAACAGGAAACTGGTTACAATGAATTAATTAACTGATTGAAAGAAAATGAATCTACAACTAATTTAACCACAGATTAATTAATTAATTAATAAAGTCATTTTGTTTCTGTTTCTCAGGCGTGAAGATTTTTTGCTTTTCTTTATTTTCATCTTTCATCTCCTCCCACAACACACAACCTGCTTTTTATAGAATATCTTTATTTATATTATTATCATTATTATTATTATTATAATTATATTTATTTCATTAATTATTTATCTATATTTTATCAAACTCAATTCATTAACAGAAAGAGAATGTGGGAAATGATAAAAGAAAAAAAATTAAACAGGAGGTGAATTTCAACAAAACAGGATTCATCCAAATGGACCTGATCCCTGAGTCTGGATCCCTGAGTCTGGACCCCTGAGTCTGGATCCCTGAGACTGGATCCCTGAGTCTGGATCCCTGAGACTGGACCCCTGAGTCTGGATCCCTGAGACTGGATCCCTGAGTCTGGATCACTGAGTCTGGATCCCTGAGTCTGGACCCCTGAGTCTGGATCCCTGAGTCTTGATCCCTGAGTCTGGATCCCTGAGTCTGGATCCCTGACTGCCCGGGGTCGGTCAATTAAAGATAAACTCTTGTTTTCTCTCTGTGGATTATTTCTCTGCTAGTTCTGTCGTCTGATCACATGATGCGTCTCACTCAGACCGTCCTCAGAGACACCTGAAGATCATCTGTCCTGCTGGTGTCAGAAGAACCGGCCTGTCTCCTGCAGGATCCTGATCCTGGTTCAGACTCAGCTCCAGGTCTGATCAGTATCACCTTCAGACCCCAATCAAACATCTGTTCAATAAACACTCAAAACCATCTCTGCCCCCCCACCACCCGCCCAGGACCACAGGGTGACGGAAACAAACACACACTCCGCAGGGTGTCAGGTGATCAGCTGATGTTTGATCTGGGTCTGACCAAGGCTTAATGTTTACATGGTGGAGCTCGGACAGGAAGTGCTCCCGTCTCTCTCACCGACTGCAGTCATGTTCCCCTGAATTAGCTTGATGCTAAGCTAACGTACAGTGATAGTTGGGGTTATTGTGTGAGGTACTGATCTAAGGTCAGTGTTTAGTGCAGCAGCAGGAGCAGAGTGATGAATTGCTGAGGGGAGACAGGAAGTGTGAACCTTAACCACACACAGCTGAATGTGATTGGCTCGTCTGTGATTGGCCGGTCTGTGATTGGCCGGTCTGGAGTCAGGGACTCTCTGATCCTGGACCTTCTTGAGGACGATCAGACTGACTTCAGATCAGTTTGGGAAGCCAGATCTCGGTCCTGATTTATTCTTGGCAGCTTCACATACAAACTCTGGGCTAAAGGGCTGAATCATCATCAGACCTGTTGTTATGTAGATTCACACCTGCAGGGTGTGATGTCATCCACACCTGTACACCTGCAGAATGTGCTAAAGCAGGGCTGCAGCTAATGATTCTTTCTGATCAGTTCCTCCTTTAATTGATCAGTTGTTTTCAGAGTAAAGTTCTGACATTTACTCGACCCAAAGATTCAGTTTCAAACAAGGAAAAAACCTGAGACACTGGAAAAAACAAATCAATCAATTAATCGACTGATCGTTTCAGTTCCAGTGTTAAAGGGAAACTTCATGTTGTTTAACAGCTTCTTCTTAAAGGAACATCCCAGTTTTCTCTGCTGGAGTCTGACGTCACCTTCATCTGTGTCCAGCACAGAGGATGTGATTAGCCTAGCTTAGCACAAAGACTGGAAGCAGGGGGAAAGTGTTAGCTTAGCGCCATCAAAAGAGAAGAAAATCCACACACACAAACACACACACACACACACACACACACACACACACATACACACTTCCTGCCCAGCTGCAAAACACACAGAGCTTCTCTGTGATTGGTTGTTTTTTTAACCTTTGAACTTTAAGTGCTCGCTAATATAAATTAAATGTTGTATTTCCACTGAAACGTCTGTTTGTGTCAAAATGATTTTTATTAATTTTCTTTTATCTGCAAAGGAAACTACAGCAAGGTTAAATATTGTTAATAATGATAATAAATGTTTTTACCTTTCAAGGTAAAGTTGGGTTCGTCAGTTTTTTTAATAATTTATATATGATATAAAATACAAATGGATGGTTTATTAATCAGGACATATTTTTATTAATATTTTTTATAACCTGTTTATTAATTTTCTTAATCCAAACTCATTTTATTAATTTGAACATACATTTTTATTAAACTTTATGTACATTTATTAATCACGTTTGTGTTTTATCATTTCATCATATGATCAATTAATTAATCTTCATTATTAAACCTGCATCTTTCATAATCCACACTACAAAAAATAAAATAAAATTCTAACTAATTTTCAGTTTTTTAAATTGTGAACAAAAGTCTGTAAAATGACAGAAATGATGTGAATTAACAACCAAACTTCTGTTTTAAGCATCATGCCAATAATAATGAATTACATTTATTTCTTATTTTTCTAAAGACAAATTACTGTATTAGTTATAAAGTATTTTTCTGCTTACTTAAATTAAATACAAATCTATGTAACATGACAGTAATTATCTGTAATTAAAAATGTAGCTTGTTATTATAAAGGTTAATGTCCATATGAACAATTTAAAGATCTTCTCTGTAATTTCAGGGGGAAATCTCATTAGTTTTACATTGTATTAATGAAATGTGCATGTGTTTGTTCTAGTAATCAGAGTCCTGGAGGAAACACAAGGAGAACATGCAACACTGAAGAAAGAACCAGGGCTGAAGCTGAACCCAGGAGCTTCAGGCTGTTGTCTTCCTGCCTGGACTTTACCAGTCTGTGTGTTTGTGCATCATATACCATAAAAGAAAACAGGACAAATGTGACAATCACCAATTCAATTCATTTGCTGTGGCCACCAGATTCCATCAGCTCAGGGAACCGTTTCAATAAACTAGATCTTCAGTCCTCAACACCAACATATGGTGTTCTATATACTGTACTGTGTGTGTGTGTGTGTGTGTGTGTGTGTGTGTGTGTCTGTGTCAAGCAGTGATATCTGAAGTGACTCTCACCTCTGGAGACTCTCCTTCCCAGGACAGGAGGTGTTCTTCCCCGTCGCTGCCTTGAACTGTCACCTGGGCTGCCTCTCCTGGTCTCTGGGAGGGAAGACACCTCGCTCTTCCTCCTGCTCTGTCTGGCAGGTGTTGCCAGGAGCTTGGAAGTACTTGGCACTGGCTTGAGGAAAAAGGGTTTGGATCAAGAATTAATTTTATGTTTGCATGAAACGATAATACACAACATACTTAACCACAAGCTCTGAGACACACACATGTACCTGGGATGAAGTGGAAACCAGAAGGCTGACCCCGCCCTCTGTCAGTCTACCAGACTCTGTACAGCTGCACCTGCTGGGCCACTAACACCACCCTGTACCGTCTCATTAGAAACCAACCATCAGATGAAACAGCGCAGACTCACTGTGGAGGATGAGGAGGGTCGGAGGTCACTCAGGGTCAGACAGGTCTGACTCTACTGAGCGTGCTCAGTTGATAAAGATCAGTTCGATAAACAGCAGTTGCTGCAGAGGTGGACCTGTGGGGGCTGATGGGTAATTAACCTGATGCATTATGGTTGTTGTGATGCAGAGACACATGAACACTGAGTCTTCCTTCTCTGAGTTTAAAACAAGGAAGATGTTTACGTTTCAGACTATTTCCTGTTTCTTTATTTCTACATTATAAATTCATCAGACTGTTGATTATTGTTCCTGCAGATTTTAAGATTTCACTCAATAATAAAATAAAATCGTCACGTTTGAAGATTAACTGGAAATAAATACAGCTGAAAAGTGATTTAACAACTTAAGATGACTCACAAACAAGAATCCTAAACACACAGGGAAACTGGAACAAACTTGATTTCACCAGACGGATGAAAGTGGAGCACAGAGACTAAATACACACCTGGTGACTGAACACAGGTGAAATACATGAGGGCGGGGCAGACCATCAACAAGGAGGGAAACACGAGACAAAGACAGGAAGTAAAAACAACTGTGGACACAGTCTTTTTCTGGATCCTTGCTTTTTGAATATTTGTTTCCTCGCTCTCTTGTGCTTCGTGTCTCTTCACCTTGTTTTTTATTTACTTTTCAATATTTATTTAGAATTTTTCTTTCTCAAAATCTTTGTTTATTTTTGACTGTACTAGAACCTATCATCATTTCCACCATCGTTTATTGGATGTTATTCCTTTCTGTAAATTACTTAAATTAAAAAACTTAAATTTAAAAATAAATAAATAAATAAAAAGGAACTCTTCTTCAAAATAAAACAGGAAGTGACTCAAAAGTCCAAACAAAAAGATAAAAGTGAATGAACTTTGTTAAAATGATAATTAAACATGTTCCTGAAGAAAAACAAACTTATTAATTAACTGTAGGATTTTTTAAAAGAATGTTCAATATGGCAGATGGAGGGTCGATCCTTGCCTCTGATTGGCTGTTTGTTCTCTGATCAGTCATGTGATCAGCTGAGGTGCGAGGAGGAGGAAGTCTCTGATGAATGAATTCTTCTCTGTTTCCAGTGTTGAGACAAGGAGGCGGAGCCTGAACTAACTGATCACTGATCACCTGACTGCAGCTCTGTGATCAGCTGACTCAGGCCCTGAGCAGGTACAGGAAGTTACTCCACCTACAGGAAGTGACATCACATGTTTGAAGTAGTGAACAGACCGGCCCTGCAGCTGCTGCGTGTCTGTGTGTGTGAGCTGATCTGTGGTCAGAGTGTGGACGCCTCGACAGGAAACACACACACAGAGGATGATGGGACTGAAGACGCTGCTGCTCGTCTCTCTACTCGCCGTCCTCAGTAAGAACCGATCACTTCCTGTTTCCATCAGGACTTTAATCTTGTTTAAATGTCGTTTTATCTTTAAAGACTTCAGCTCTTCAGAGTTTCTGCTCCTCGCTCTCAGAGCCTCGTCTTCATGTATCAGTCTGGTTTCCCTCCTTTTATTCGACAGCGTTTTAAAGCTGCTGTGACTCAGTTCAGTGAGTTTTAAAAGTTTAAACTTGAACTCAAGCTGCAGCAGGATGAAGCGTCCGCAGAGATTCACTCTGAGGTAGAAGAAGAAAAACAGAGACAACGAGCTGAAGCTTCGTTCTTCACATGAAACACAAAGAGAAAGAGAAAGGAGGCGCCTGGGGGGGTCATGGGG